GCAAACGGCAAAAAGAAGGTTCACTACTACAATGAGATCAGTGTATCCATCTCGTGTGGCCTCCTTCTGGCTGCCCTGCAGGTATGGCCCCTCCCATAGCAGGCCAAGGGAAAGAAGTGAGGCTGGGGGACAAAGCGGCCTCAGTCAAACATGTCAGGTCAGCTGCTGATTCAGGGACCTTTGGAAACTGTTTATGTAAAATGGAGTCCTAAGTAAGGTGACCTGATATCACAACTGATTCTGGGAACCAGGACTGGTGAGTGTGATGGCTCTGAAAGCCAGAATTCTTCCTGGAAACGTATTTCCAACATCATTTCATGGTCAGGAGAATAGTCATTGCGTCTATATCAAAACAAAGCTTCAAGGGTTCTGGCAGACACAGATCCTTAAAGCCACAAGGACTGAGGTCGTCCATGTATTTACTGTTGCTGTCTTAGCAGACAAAGGGTTCAAGAGTATTAGAAACATACCCCTGTGCTTAACCGATTTCCAGTGCATGGTGACTAGAGCTGTGCTAAGCACGACATGGAGCAGAAGGAGGTATGCCTTCCACCCCAGTCAGTTCATTAGTGCTGCCACCTACTGTGCCTTCTATCTGGTGAAACTGAGCTCAGCTGCTAACTGAAAGGTGGCCAGTTTGAATCCACACAGAGGGGCCTCAGAAGAGGTGCCTGGCAGTCTACTTATGAAAAATCAACCGTTGAAAACACTATGGACACAGTTCTGTGACACACAATGGGGTCACTGTGACTCAAAATCAACTCCATGGCAACGAGTTCTGTGGGACAGGTCCTAGGAAGAACCAGGGATAGTTGCCTCGTGAACTGAACGCTCTGGTGAGGAGGGGGGTCTAGACAGGGGGTAGAGAGAGACAGTAAGCGTAAAATAAATGAAGCAAACAAGATTGTAACAGCAAGTGAAGACACTGTCAAGGGACAATGGATTCCAAACCACTGGACTGACTTACTGCACTGTCTCAAGGAAAACTTTGTATGCTGAGAATGCCTTACAAAATGCTTTCATTGTTACACAAAAGCGGAATGTGTTTCTGGATTCCTTGAAAAATCCCTCTGAAGGAGATGGTGATTTATTTTACTTCTGAATCTATAAGCAGCAAGGAAAAGAATCGCTCTGCAGGTTGGACCACGGGCTGAAGGCTGGACTCACGCTACTTTTGAGTTTGCTGCCCTCTAGTGGTAGTAAGGCGTGGTTCTTCTGCGCGTAGGCCGTGGTTTGTGAAGGAGTCTTCATGAAGCCCATCTGGACAAATTGCAGGCTGACTGAAAGTACGAGCTTGCCATACATGACCCTCCCCTGCAGCAGCAGACTTCTCATGGCTCTCATTCAACTTCACAATCTGGTTGGAATGCATGGCTGGGAGGAGAACTGAAGCTACACTTGTCTAGCAAACTCATTGCTTATACTTAGCCAACCAGTTGCCAATGGGTTGATTCTGACTCATGGTGACCCTTTGTATGTCACAGTACAGCTGGACTCCATAGGGTTTCCAATGGCTAGGCCTCTGGGTGGACTCGAACCTTCAACTTTTTGTTTAGCAGTCGAGCACCTTAACCATTTATGTGCTGTTTATTATTTAAAGAGGCTTGGGGAGAGGTTGATGGGGTTTTCCCTCTACCCTATGGACCCCTGGCCACACGTAGCACCTTGTTAGTTTCAGATGGGGCTCGTGCTCCGGCTCCATTGTTGGTTTTCCAATCATAGGAGCCCGTTTGTTTGTTTGTCTGTTTTCTAGGCCTGTCTGTTGTTTGGCTGAAAATTGGGGCTTGAGTTCAGTTCCCTGCTTGAAGGGTATCTATGGGCCATAATCTCAGGGCTTCCACCAGTCTTCATCTGACCAGAAAGCCTGTTTTTTTTAATTATTATTTTGAGTTTTGTTCCACACTTTTTTCCCACTCTATCTGGGATCTCCTATTGTGATCCCTGTCAGAGCAGTCAGCAGTGGTAGCTGGGCACCATCTAGTTCTTCTGATCTCAGGGTCATGAGAAGGCTGGGTCTCACGTGGTCCATTAGTTCTTTGGCTGTTACCTGCATCTCTGATTCTCTTCACTCTTCTTTCCTCCAGACGGGGAGAGACTAATAGTTGCACCTTAGAAGGCTGCTCACAGGCTTTTAAGACTCCAGTTACTACTTCCCAAAGTAGGATGTAGAACATTTTCTTTGTGGACTAGTTATTGGTGTAGTTAGATTCTCCAACTTACTTTCCATAAAATAGTCATTCCTATTTCTTAAACAGAGGAGCTCTGGTGGAGTAGTGCCTAAAGCATTTGACTGCTAACCAGAAGGCTGGCGGTTCAAACCCACCAGCCATTCCTTGGAAGGAAGATTGGGCAATCTTATTTCTTTAGAGATACTGCCTTGGAAACCCAGGGAGGGGTCACTAAGAGTCGGAGTCAGAGTCAACTCAATATCAGTGAGTTTTTTATTTCTTAAACATCTATGAAAAGTAAGGCTTTTTTTTTTTTTTTAAATGATTTTTACGTTTTTTTTTTTTTTTTTTCCTGCTTTAAGAAGCTGTTCACTGCTGGCTTAAAAAGAAAGTGGGGTGTGGGGAGGTGGCAGGTGCAGGTGAGATTCGAGATGCCCGTTGCCTGAGCTGGCAGCCTGTGGCTGTCTGTCTCAGTTCCCCGGTGCTTCCATAGCACAAACATCACAAATGGGTGGCTTTAAAGGGTAGAAATGTATTTTCTCCCGGTCCAGGAGGCTAGAAATATGAAAGCAGAGTGTCAGCTCCGGGGAAGGCCCGTCTTGTCTCTAGTAGCTGCCGGCAATCCTTGGTGTCCGTGTTTGTAGATGCAGCTGTCTCTGTCGTCACGTGGTGTCTCTCCCCCCCCTTGTGTGTGTCACGTGTGTTCTTCTCTTTTTATAACACACCACTCAGAGGGGATGCAGTCTCTGCACTGGTATGACCTTATCAACATAATAAAAGAAAAGCCCTATTTCCCTGCAGGTCATCCTGAGAGGTACCTGGAGTAGGGCTTCAACGGAAGGATGAGAACTTTTAAGGGGACACAGTTCAGTCTAGAAACCAAAAAAAAGAAAAAAACAATCTCGCTGCCGACAAGTCGGATCCAACTCATAGATACCCCTCCTTGGGTTTCCGAGGCAGTATCACTACGGAAATAGATTGCCCAACCTTCCTTCCGAGGAGTGGTTGGTAGGTTTGAACCACCAGCCTTCTGGTTAGCAGTCAAGTGCCTTAGGCACTACAAATGATAGGACCAGCGGGTCTAATAGGGATCAGAATGTCCCCAGGCTAGAAGCCGAGCTGTGATTTTGCCGGTGACTCTAAATGTTTGCTTTCCCTCTCCTGTTTCAGAATGCCGGCCTGGTGACTGTCACCACCACACCGCTCAACTGTGGCCCTCGTCTCAGGGTGCTCCTGGGCCGCCCCATAAATGAGAAGCTGCTGATGCTGCTTCCTGTGGGCTACCCCAGCAAAGAGGCCACAGTGCCCAACCTCACACGGAAGCCTCTGGATCAGATTATGGTGACTGTGTAGACTGGAGACCATCAAAGGGAGAAGGCTCAAGATGAGGAGCTTGCCTTCCTTTCCTGTCCATGGCTGTTCCTCTTGGGTTATTGTCTGCTCTTTCCACAGGGTTAGCTCTCCTCAGCACTCTACTTCACAGGGAGCCTCTCTGTGTCTGGAGACCTTAGCACTCTCTGCCACACTGTGAGTCAGTTCCATGGCAGATGGGCAGTGTGGTGGGGTAAACACAGGATGGTATCAACAAGAGGTCCTCAGTGTCTTCTCCCCTTTGGAAATACATATACATTCAACTAAGAACATGCCCCAGCTTCTAAGTTTTAAAAATTGTCCCATAAAAATCAGTCATGGCTGTTTTCTGTCACTTCTGTGAAGCTTCTATCGAGAGGAAAGACTCAGCGGAAAATGCAGTGCTGTACCAAGGACCCAGCTATGAGATGATTCTTAAAGTTAAATTTAGACTGAGCAAATGGCGTCTGCCTTGTGCTTTCTGGTGGCATGTAGGTGAAGGGTGTGTTTGTGAAACTCACTCCTACTGAAGTTCGTGGATATTCTGCAGGTTTGAATAAGCAACCATCAAAATAATTTCAGTGTCATGCCCACGGAACACAGTAGCTTATGGTTTAGTTGGGTCAGCCCAGCTGACAATCACCTGAACATGTAAATGCTTCATGGCCCAGTGCAATAGTAAGTTGAAATTGGCCCACACCAGCTCATCGAAGCCAAATGTGACATATTCCAGAATTTTGCTAGCCAGATGTAAAAGCGTTTGCAGTTTGAAATCACTCGGGTGGGAGTATTTACACCACACCAAAAGCAAATCCACTGCCAATGAGAAGATTTCAACTCATTGTGACCCTATCATGCAGAGTAGAACTGTCCCATAGGGTTTCCAAGGCTGTAAATCTTTCTGGAAGCAGACTGCCTCACCTTTCTTCCTCAGGGCAGCTGGTGGTTTTGAACCACCAACCTTTTGGTTAGTGGCCAGATACTTTAACCACTGTGTTACCAGAAAAAAAAAACAAATTCACTGTCATCGAGTCGGATCTGACTCATAGCGACCCCTCCTTGGGTTTTTGAGGCAGTATCACTACGAGAGTAGATTGCTCAATCTTCCTTCCAAGGAGTGGCTTCTATTTATACCATTAAAAAAACACACACAAAAAAAACCTCACTGCCATCGAGTCAATTAGATCCATGGTGACCCCTCCTTGGGTTTCCGAGG